AGGATTTACTTGTATGTGTGTGCGTGACGCCAAAAGCGATTATTTGCATTGACGAAAGTGTTGCATACTTTGCTGCGGAATGCGAAAAGGGAGATCGCAGTGCGATTGCCTTTTGAGACTTTTGTGCCTTTTGTGCCTTTTGTGCCATTTTCGCCCATTTTTCGCTTAACTTAATTATGAAACTTTCAGCTTGTTTTAGACTGTTGGCACCGCTTTGTTCGGCTTTGAACAATGTTTTTCTTGCGGCTTCTGTTGCTGCTGCTGCTACTGCAAAAAAAAACAAGAGTTTTGTTCGCTAATTAAAAAGGTCAACACACAAATGAGAGAGTTACAAAAGGAAATAATGCGAGGTGAGCGAGGCAAATTAAGCTCACACCAATTGCGTCACTTTAACGGATCCACAGTGGCTACCAGGTGGAGCTGTTGGGTGGTGGTTCAGTGATTGATCGGGGGGCAGAACTACCCCCACAGCCCCCTCTGTCTCACCCGCTGATTCAATTCGCCTCCACTCATGTTGAAAATCGCGTCAACATAAAAACAGTACCATCGCCACTCCCCAGGACTCTTCCACAAAAAAAAAAAAAAAAAAAAACAAGTGGAAAACAGGATGGGGCAGAAAAGAGAGTGGTCCCGAAACGCGAGGCAGTCGGTGTAGTGTCCTGAAAGCCAGCCGCACCCCACCGAAACCAACCCACCTGACCCTGGTTGTTAACATGTTTCACTTTGGGCCATGAAGGCGCCTCACACGGATACCCACACGGCAAGAAAAAATAAAGATATCTATTTTTTCACATAATCTGGGAGGTTTTCCACACCATCACTTTGACATCATTTAATTGGATTTTAATGGCACATTTTTGTGAATGATATTTCAGTTAAATACAAAAAATAAGGGGCTAATAAGAAAATACATTTTATAATGATTATACTTGATATATAATAACTGGATATTTGATTTTTTTGAATAACTTTGAAAATATAAAATACATGGAAAAAGTGAGATAGCACTTGGACTTCATACAATCAAAGACTCACAGTGAATTTTTCTTTCTCTGGAGGCACCCCTTGCCCTCGGATGTTCAACCTGTGGGTTTTTCAAACGAAAGGCAAATTTTAATGCCAACATTGACATGTAAGAGCATATGTGTATGTGCGGTGTGTATGTGTGTGTGTGTGTTGGTGTGGCAGGCAACCGAGCGTGTAAGCCAGGCGAAAAGGAGGGGGATGAGTTGGTAAAAGGGGACAAAGGGAGGGCGGAAAAGCGGTAAAGGACCTCCCACGCATGACACTGTATCCAGGCACTCAGACGTCGCACAGCTTTAGAGCCAATTGTGCCAAGCTGTCTGTGTGTGAGTGTGTGTGTCCTTTTCGTCCTGCGTGCTTGTGTCTGTATGTGTATTTGTCATTATTGGCAGCTTAGACGGCACACACGCACACAAAATAACACACAGCGAAAGCGACAAAACAAATCGAAAAAATATTAACAACTTATTCCTTTTGATTTTTTATTGGGCCATGGGCTGTTGCCACGCTTATTCAGCCGGAATTCGTGTGTCTGTCAGCTTGTCCATGTGGCATTTAAAGGCTCTCAGTTTCACCATTTTTATTTTTTTGCACTGGCTTGAAATGGCCAGTGGAGCAGGACACGTTATCCGGTCAGCTCCATTAGAAACCGACTGGAATCGGTTTTTTTTCGGGGGGATACGTCACTCAAAAAAAATATTTAATACAATTGCAAAAAGCTGAAGTGATCCGGAGTGTCATAGAAACATAGAAATACCTTCAGGAAGTTGAACATGAAATTCTAATCCACTTGCTTTAATCGAACAAATGTTTTTTTTTAAAACACCACGTATTTTATGCTTTTGTTTACAATTTTAAACCACTTTAAGGATCAAATTGCAATTTAATGTTTTATAAATTAAGATTTTATTTTTACTTCATTGTAAAGCATTTCAGTAAAAACTTTAGAAATATGGATTGGTTACAATTAATTATTTATAGGTTTATTCATAACTTGGGTTTCAAATCAAATGTAGTAAAAAACATAAAATGGTTTAATTGTTATGTTATTATGTTTTAGATGATCAATTATGATGATGATTTGATTAACAAATAAATATAGTCTATACCAACAAATTGAGCATTGGAAAAGAGAAAATATTTTTAAATTGATTTCAAATTCGGCTTGTTTTGTGTGCCATTTCAATGGAACCTTCTCAAGATTATCCTCGTTTTTGTCGTCCTACATTCCGAAAAATCCTTCGAAAGGAGTTCGTTTGAGGGGAGTGGCCTAACTGGATCGCCTGCTCTTGTTTCTGCCCCATCATGCATACATATGCGCTCATTTCACGCCTCGTGTTAATGGCTCTATACACACACTTATGACGCGGGGTGCCAAATAAAGAAGCTGGGAGCGAAAGTGGAGCCACAGCAAACAGGCAGGCAGGCATGAAAATAAATTATATTTTAATGTAAAAACAATACCAGCCACTTAAGTCGCATTCATATCAATGGCCTTGTGCGAGTGTGTGTGTTTGGTGTGTATTTTGAGAGTGGTATGAGTGGGTATTTCAATTTCCAGGGAAAACTCGTGAGGCTGCGAGTTTGAGCCTTGGCTGAAGGCCTAAGCTCAAAGCTGATGAGCAAACCCGAAAAATTTGGTGGAACCACCCATCAACACACACATACACACACGCACACATTTTCCCCCTTTCATAACGGTGGATTTGCGTTTTTATACAGATACCCCTGATACCCCGGCGTATACGCAATTCAAGTTTCATACGCCCGAGTATATTAAATTCAACGTAGTTTCATCCGCACGCAAAGCACAATGGCCTTACTGTACAGTGAACTACTAACGAAACGTTCAAAAATCAAATTATTACTCTCTGTTGCAACAGAAAAATGTACAAAGAAAATTTGGAAAATGTTCGGGCAGAGGGAAAAGCTGGATGGAATATATATTTCAAGGCTGCAATTGTTTGCTCTGGGTCTCAACCACCCCACCTGTGCCCCTCGCTCTGTTTGACGCTGCTTTGTTTGCTTTGCCCGAGTCTTTTGTTGGACGAAATTGAAGTTGAAGCTTTGTGCAGCATTATCTGAGCATTGCCTACGGGAAAACCTTTCTACACAGAGGAAAAAAAAATACAAAAAAACATAAATACAAGAAGAGGGAAAGGGAGAGAGAGAAAAATAGAGCTGCAGAAGGTCTGGCAATTACAAATGGAAACGCAAGTAACGAGGCAAAGTTTGCAATAAATGCAGCTGGCTGATCGGATAATATATATGTATATAAAGTATATAATATTTTTGTGTTTTGCTTTGGCGCAAATCGGTGGCATTTGAAGACAGCTCCATCCCCTGCCACTTGCCAATCCAATCATGGGAATTACTTTTTAATAAAGTCCCAACTCCTGGCAGCTCCTGTCGCCCGCGGGTCGCTTTGAGGTGGAAACTTTGCCAAATCGGGACATGAGTTGACTGCCAAGCAAACTGCGCCCATGAGCATAAGTGTAATTAAATTTACAGCTCTGAAGGTCTTCAGCACCACATCCCATATCCATCATGAGCACCTGCCCTCGAGCCGCGAGTCCTGCACTGAGAAAAAATCAAAATTCTCGAAAACTAAGGGCAAACAGAGGAAATGATAAATAAATTAACGGATTTTATATGAGCTGTGAGCTGAGGAAATGTAGAACGGGTTCTTTTAAGTAGAACATTTCAAGAAATTGTATTTAAAATTGTATATTACATGTTATTCATAATATTATTAGGTCCTAGAAATTTGTCATAGATGATACATTTCAATTCCCCATTTAAGTAATAAGTAATAAGGTAATGGTGTTCAACTTAATTTTTTTTCTTTTTGCTTTACTTCCCGGAAATTTCAGTTATGTCTGAATGAGCCCAGCCTGTTTTTCCCTTGAAAACCCCCGACTTTTTCCCCCCGCTTTTTTTGGAAGAGGCCTCAAAGTGCGCTTTGATTTTCTCACGCCGATAAAATCAAAGCCAAAGACAGACAGCAAGATTTACGGATTAAGGCGGGTAAATAGGAGGACGGCCATCATACTCCACAGAGATTTCGCGCTAATTCACTTTAGCGCGACTAACCAAATTAATTGCTGACAGTTTTGCTGCCTTTTGCCGATACGTGATTTGCTTTTGCCTCATATTTATTTTGCCACAAGCGGCACGACGTGAATGTATGCGCATAAATTAGGGACTGGGGATTCGAGTTTCCGTTTCCGGTTGCTTGACTGCCCAACGATTCAATCAAATGGCCCTGAAAGCTTATTGGCCATTTGCAATTGACTCCGAGTCTCTGAGTCCAAGCTGTGCCGACCTTCAGATTAGCTGTGTGCTCGGGACAGGTGAAAGTGCGCCGATATTGAGCCATCACAGTGGCGTATCCACTTCCTCCAGAATCGGGAAATCACAAATGAAATGCCCTTTGACGACGGCGCCACAAGCTCGTCTGTTTCAATTTGCCTCGAATTTATGAACAACTCAAGTAGTTTTCCTTACCACTCTGCTATTGACAGGCTCATCCACACACACACACCTACACACCCACACAAAGTTTCAGGAAAAAGCCGAGCCGGAAAATAAAGCCCCAAAAGCCAAAAAAACATTCGCATTGAAAATACTTTGCGGCCATGTCAAAAACATTCGACAAGTGCAATCGAACAGAGCCAAAGGTAATTGTAATTAATTTGCTGGAGCAACTGAAACTGAAATGGCAAAAAAAGGGGGAATCCAAGCGCTACATAAAATTCAGAATGCCAGATTTTGTTGGTTTTCAGTTCAGCAAAGTCATTTCGTTTGTTTTTTTTTGGTCAAAACCGAATGAAAACTTTCTCAGTCTTTTGTTCGTTGGGTAAAGCGGGAATAAAGAGATGGTTGAGCTTCTGGGCTAGTGTAAACTAAAATTCAGTAAAATAATCGATTTGCAAATCTAGCATACTAAAAGAAACACAAAAACAGATAATGAAAGATTTATGTGTTAGAGGCATTTATTATCCCATTCTGTTCCAATTGTAGTCATAGCTACCTTGATTAAAACTATAATATAGCCCTATTATACGTCTAGATGATTTTAAAATGTTTTAAACTTTTCATATATATATATCCTTAAGTATTCCTGTTTTTAAATATGAAAATTTTTGAAATTTAAAAATAAATTTATAAATATTTCTGTGCATATGGTACACAAAGCTCTATTGTGATACTTTTCTTTAAGAGTAGAGGGGGAGGTGTTTATACCGTTTAAGTCCTGATTCTTTCATATCCTAGTAGGCATCCCTTTGGCGAAGTCTTCTGTTGCGGTCCTTTTTGTCCAGATAGGTGGTCAGTGAGGACTTGTTGGGCACGGTGATCAGAACGGGGAGCATTTGATTGCATCGCTGTAAAACTGTTCGAAGTCGAAGGTTCGTGTCGTAATCCAAAATGATGATGCCTATGTGGGGCTTCCTGTACACAGTAAGAAAAAACTGCTCTACGTCCTCCTGCAATGTTTCTGCGAATTCGAAAATTAGTCGAAAGCTACGTATATTACTTTGCCTTAACCACCCACCGCTTTCCACCATCATATAGTTGCGGAACCTGTCCTTTTGATAACCAACGCCTGCCAGTAAAAAACCGAGCGTTACCTCCTAATAGTAAAAGTTTAAAATCAGTTGAAGATCTTGTTCCGTAGAACTGGTCAACCCACGGGATCCGCCATGATCGCAATGCGCAGGATATTCGGGTCATCCAGCACTGTGTTCCTTTGCAATTCGAAATAACTTCCATTACTATCGCTATCCGATCCAGCGTCAATGTCAGCCCTTCGAATTTCCATGTCTCTGCTCCCCGGAATCTCTGATCCCCCCAATCTCTAATCTGTAATTTAAGAAAAATGGGACAGAAAATGAGACGGTACTGGGATCAACAAATGTTTCATATGTGCTTTAAATCAATAATCTCTTCCCTAATTTTTTAGCCATAACAATAAAAATAAGATTACAATAACAAATGGCATACGTAATAACATTCCCAATCGATTGGCATTCAAACCTGGACCTTTATTAATTTTTTTTAATTTAAACAAAATATTTGTAAGTTTTGTTAAAATAATTCTTGCTTTCACAATTTAAGTGATATTTCACAATGTGTGTTTTTTTAAAAAGTGTAAGTTTGTATGAAAAAATAAATTGGCTGATATTGTTGTTTGAGTTATCGAACCGTTCTTAAACCAAATTTGTATAGACTTGGAAGGAGGAGATGTCTTCTCTTCTTTTTCCTTGATTTCTGAAGCAAAGCCAAGGATTTGGAAGCCAATCTGATGAGTTTTTGAGTGCCTGCCTTCGCGGGGTGATATGTTTTATTTTTACAACTTTTTAATGAGTTTCCAATAAGGTAAATTCGGGCAGCTTAAGTCGTAAGCCACAAGACTCAATCTCAATCCCAGCGACACATTGTTCAGCCTCATTTTGGGTGACAAAATTAGTTTTTTATTTTGCATTTCATTTTAATTGTTCGGTTTTGGGCGTTTGGCTTCGGGCTCACTGGGGGAAAATGAAACCCCAAATGAAAATTCAATTCAATTATGACACGAGCTTACATATTTGTGGGCTGTGTGTTTGCTGGCTTTCGTACACGATTTCTGGAAATATTATGCGATTTCACATCGTCTTATAATTACTCAATAAACTGCCTAGCCGTAAGCCTAAGTAACCCATTTATTTCACTTAATTACTCGATGTTAATATAATTGTCAGGAGCTAAGCCCCTTTTCCTAGCAAAACTCTAAACAATAGAGATGCAAGGTAAATGGATTGATTGACTTAAGCCTCCCTTCATCTGAAATATCATAAGTCCTTCTCAACTGGCCAAACACACACTTTCAACACTGCAGTCTTAAGCTTAAAAGCCCGGAGAAACACACTTATATGCAAATTCCTGGCATGTCCGACCATCGGGGATTTATGTCGTTGGGAGTGAATAATGCGTTAAGAACGAGACAAGGCCAAATCCGAGTGAATGTGTGCATTTGTGTTCGATTCGACCGGGAAAACCGAGGAATGCCAAAGATATGTACAGTTGTTTTGGCCTGGCAAACGCAAAAATTCCGCATTTCCCGTATATTTTCAGGCTGCATGTCCGAATACCATGAGTTGCGTTCAGTAATCCAATCCCAGTCGGAAATACAATTAGAAATCAAAACAAATTTGATCATTTGAATTGCAAACGCAAAAAAGCGGAAATTTAGTTTTGAAACAGCGAGTTGTTTAACCCTAGGTTGTTTTCTTCAAAATTACAAGCACAAATTTATTTTGGAGTATTTTTTTCGTATCGAAAATTCCAATGAGACAATATATGCAAGACTTTTAAATAAGATGTCGCTATTTGATAACAACAATTTCAAACTACCTGGAGCTTCAAAGAAATTCTTATATGTGCATTTCTTTATTGTTAACGAGAATTATTAAATATTCCATACATATTTAGATTTGTAAGAAATCCTGTTTAAAGATAAATTATGGTAAAACTTGAATTTCATTCTTTTAAGCAACAGCTAATGCAGTAAGAATTAAAGAAATGACAAAACCAAAATTATGTGCAAATTGTAGTCATTCGGGTTCAGTTGAGGAAATGGTTCACACGCGATTAAGACTTTGAATAATATCTGCAAAATAGATTAATTGTTGAAGGGTTGTATACAACTTGCGGATATTTCAAATTAAATAGAAAAAAAAACAATTGTTATAAATAATACACTGACTGTGGAAATTAAGTTTGAAAACAAATTTGTTAATTAATATTGCTAAAAATAAAGTCAAAGAAATAATTAGGTTATAAATTTAAAAATAAATTTTATATATTATATTTAAATTTCAAAACGTATCAGCTTAATAGCCTTTAAATTGTAGCAGAGATTTCTATGGCGTGCCGTGTACTTATTTATTTACTCAACATTACTATTGCAATGTTTCTTGGCTGGGAATTGCTTTGTTTTTCGAATCCTGATTGCCTGATTGGAACGAGAAATTCTCATTAAGGACATGTCTGCATTGACCACTTTCTCCGCATTCTCCGTTTTCTCCCACGCTGCTTATGCCAGTTGCTTTGTTCGCCAGTATTTGTGTTTGTATGTGAGTCCATGGCCGTGCGGCTCGCTTGCCAATGGAAAATGGAAAAGTTAAGCCTGCCTGGCAGACAAACAGACCAACACACGGACAAACAGATGCTGCACATACACATACCCATTCACATTCGCAATTCGCATTCGCATTATGTTGCTGCCGTGTCCTTGCCGCACGGCTCATCCGCCCCACAAAGGCAGTAGTGCAACTTTAATAACGCCACAAATTGCGTAAGCCGCCGAAAACCATTAATAACTTTCCTGCACCTGCACCTGATGGCGCAAAAAGGTGAATGTGAATGTAAATGGGAGGGTGCCCATGGTGCGTATACGTGATATGGCAGCATATGTTGCCTTTTGCCTTTTGCTTTTCCCCACTGTGTGCACTGCCTTTTAATTATTGATTCCCGCGCTGCCATTGAAGTGTTTAATATTTTCTGAGCAGCCAAAACGTGGCCGCAGGACATTCGGACCGGGATCTGTGAGCTCTCGAGTCCTGAACTCCTGAACTGCTGAACTGCGACCATCCAGAAGCCTGGACTCGACCACAGTGGCCAGGGGCTGCCCAAAGCGATTGCCACTGATTGTTTTATTTCGCTACATAATTGCATTTTCTTGTCAGGACAAACAGGACTTTATGTGTGTGTGGTTGGGTGTACTGCGTGTGTGCGACTGAAACTGAGGCAAAACAAGCGCACACTTTTGCGCAAATTTGCCCAGAGAATTGGACCCACATTTGCAGTTCCACCATTTGAGTTGTTAAGCGACTGTCAGTGGGGGCAAACAAAAACAGGTTAAATAATTAAAAAAACATGTTTAGTGCGCTGAGGAACCTTTTACTGCTTGTTTTTCAAACATGCCATGGCAATTGTAAATTTATTTAATAATTAAAACACATATGTTCACTTCATTATTAATATTCAATTTGCAAAAGTTAAGCGAAAACTAAATGATTTTTTTTTTAATTTAATTAAGGAGTTATGTCGTAAAAATATCAACCCAAACTTTCAAAACAGAATTTAAATGCAGATTTTTAGAAGATTAAGCAACAAGACTTTGAAGATATACAACTTTGAAATCGGATGCGTGACATAAAAGTTATGGATTTAGAACTGCAGGTTTTTGGTCACTTTTCTGCAAAGACGATTTTTTTCGGAGATTTAGAAAGGGGTTACTTCATAAAAATTACAAACAAGTCGACCCGAAATTACAAACCAATTTTTAAACGCAGAGTTTTAGAGACTGAAGCCCCAATACTATAAAGATATGCCATTTTGAAATCGGACATTTTAAAGAAAAGTTATGGAATTAAAACTGAAGGTTTTTGGTACCGTTTTTAAAATGATTTTTTCGGAATTTAATTAAGGAGTTTTGTCGTAAAAATATCAACCCAAACTTTCAAAACAGAATTTAAATGCAGATTTTTAGAAGATTAAGCAACAAGACTTTGAAGATATACAACTTTGAAATCGGATGCGTGACATAAAAGTTATGGATTTAGAACTGCAGGTTTTTGGTCACTTTTCTGCAAGGACGATTTTTTTCGGATATTTAGAAAGGGGTTACATCATAAAAATTACAAAAAAATCGACCCGAAATTACAAACCAATTTTTAAACGCAAAGTTTTAGAAGCTGAAGCCCCAATACATTAAAGATATGCCATTTTGAGATCGGATGTTTGCAAGGAAAGTTATGGAACTAAAACTGAGGATTTTTGGTAATTTTTTACACCCTTGCAGAGGGTATTATAATTTCAGTGAGAAACTTGCAGCAGTGAAGGAGAAATTTCCGACCCTATCGGAAGAATCGGAAAAATAAATGAATAAATTATTATAAGTCTATAATTTCATCAAAAACGGACGACTATAACATTAAAGCTCCCATAGCAATAACTGCAAGGGTATATGAACTTCGGGTTTCCGAAGTTTGCTTCTTTTCTTGTTTTTATTATATTTTCATTAACAATATTCATTTGTGTCAAGAAACATGGTTAATTATATCCTACTCCGATGCCCTATCCATCATGTGGTCTTGCCACAAAAAATTGAAATTGGTACGCAATCGAGCAGCGGACTATGCAACAATTTGCTAAACTTAAATGACACGGAAATTGGCAAAACTTTGGCAAATTTAATGCACACACGGGGAGAATATTTGCAAACAACAATTTTTTTATATTCCCAAACAAATGAAACAAAGAATAGGCCAACAAGAGTAAAAAATACAAAGCCAAGATCTATCGTTTCAGAACTCGCCAGACAGATTGAAGACTTTCCAAATATTTTTGTATGTAATATTGATTAAATTGAGATGGGTTTTTAATAAGTCCACTGGATTTGGCAGCCATTATTTTTTTCAACTGTGTTATTCGGAGTTCACCCTGCGACACATGTGTGTCTAGTGGATATTTGGGGCGAGGAAAAGGCATCAATCTTCCTCCATCATTGTCAGTGGCCGATGACGATGACGAAACAAGAGCGCCAACAAACAGCATCCCCATCCGATTTTCCATGAAAAACCCCCTCCATTTCCCAACCACCTCCACCCCCCGCTGTTTCACTTTCACATTTCTCATTTCCGCAGCAGGCAGCACAAAGTAAATGAAATATCATCGCCCGCCTGTCATTTCATAATTTTGAAAGCCCAACAAAATAATGTGAATATATCCGGACACATCCAGGGAACAACCGACTATATGCCATTATATTTGCAATTCGCCCTTCCTGTTTTGTTTGTCAATAAAGCCGCCGCGCGTAATAAATTAATTATTTATTTGCCACCAACATCAATATT